CCTGCCGAGCCTTCTCTCTGTTCATTAGAATGGCACTGATGATGGTCACATCTGAGGCTCTGACTAAGAGCACTTGCTATTCCTGCAGAGGTTCTGGGTTTAGTTCCTAGCACTTACATGGTGAGTCATGGTAGTAACTCAGGATAGTAAGTTCTGGAGTTCCGATCCCCTCTTCTGGCCTCTGGGAGGGGGGGCACTTTGTCTTCTGCAGGTGTGTGCACACATAAACTAAATCTTAAAATAACCTGCTCATCTCACAGATGGTTCAGGATTACTGGGATACAAGGCAGAGGTTTTTGGAGAGGAAAATGTGAAACCAGGTTTTGGCATATGGGGACAAAGATCCTCACGGTGGTCACTTTCCCGGCTTGTGTGTGCCTCTTCCTGTGGGAAATACTAAAGAAGAGGCTTCAGGGGTTCCTGTAGGGCTCTACTTTCCCTTTGCTGAGCAGGTTTTCTCCAGCTTTCACTGAAGTATCTTGTAGTCCCCACCCCAGCATAATGATAGTACCTGGCAGAGTTCCGTGAGACTCAGCTTTGGTGTAACTGGGCAGAAAATAGTCATGTGACCTACAGACCTAGTGTGAACACAGGAACATTCCTATAAGCCACAGATGACCGGGGAAAGAGGTTGGTGCTGGGTTTTGACCCTTGCCATCCTGTTTTCTTCTGTAACAGTGTCCTGTGGACTTTCCCAGTGTACACAGAGGCCAGTGGCTTCAATGTTAAGTAGCAGACTTCTATTTTATTTTTATTTCTATTTTATGTGGATAGGGGTTCTGCACGTATGTCTGTGTGACATGTATGTATAGCAGCTGCAGAGTCTAGAAGAGGGTGTTGGACCTGTTCAGTCTTGAGTTACAGAAGGTTGTGAGCCCCTGTGTAGTTTTGGGAATTGTCTCTGGTTCTTCTGGAAGAGCAGCCAGTGTTCTTAACCCGCTGGGGTTGAGCCGCTGAGCCCTTTCTCCAGCCCCTGAGGCTATCTTACAGAAATTCATTTTCACAGTAAAATCCAAATGTAGAACAGATAAGAGCGGGGACTCTGATAGAAAGGAGGGAGACAGAGGCTGAAATCGTCCCCACCGGCCCTCCCCAGCTCCATGTGACCCTGGTTTGATCTGCTCCAGCCCTCCCCCGCTCCGTGTGACCCCTGGTTTGATCTGCTCCAGCCCTCCCCTGCTCCATGTGACCCCTGGTTTGATCTGCTCCAGATTGGGTCTTTTTCAGCTTTCCTTTTGACTCTCTTGTTCCCTGGGCTTCAGTGGCAGCTGTTATCATTCCAGCTGTAGAGGGAATGGGAGGGAACTTCCTGTTATTCTATCCTGCCATCTCTACGGGGGCGGACATTCCCTCCCCCTCCTGTGGCTGGCTGTGGTTTTGGAAGAACTGGAGTCTGGAGGCAGCCAGACTAGGGCTGCAGAAGCCGCTGGAAGCTTCCAGCCACCCTGTGAGGGCACCTGGGAGCAAGGCAGAAAGCGGGCACTGACCAAGGAAAGAGGAGGCTGTCGTGGTGGAGAGAGCTGAGTTGAGAAGATACTGGAGGGAGTTAGGGGTTAAACGAGTGACTGGCAGGGGAAGGGGGAGGAAGAGGAGAAGGGAGGGCTGCAGCGGAAAGGAACAGGGAGGGAGGGGCATCGAGAGAAAGGCGTGAGGAGGTGGTTGATGTTTTTGGGTAGAAATAATTCGGGAGTAGACATCGTGGTACAGAAGTGACAGGGCCCATTTTCTCCAGCCACGTGAGGTTGTCACACTTGCCAAACCTCTCTTTGCCTTTGGCATATGGAATACGAAAAGGGACTGAGCTTGAAGCCTGCTTTTCAAAAAGTTTTAAATTTGATGCTGATGTGTGGTACAGGCCTGTAACCCTAGCATTCGGGAGGAAGAGTCACTGGCTACAAGTCAGAGTCCAACCTGGACTACATAGTGAGACTGTCTCAAATATTCGTCTGCTGGGTATGGTGATGTATACCTTTAATCCCAGCAGTCTAGAGGCAGAGACATATGGGCCTCTGTAGATTCCAGGCCAGCGTGTTTCAAGACATACAGGCTACATAGTGAGACCCTGTCTCAAAACAAAAAACCCATCCCATCACAAACAATAAAATGTTAACAGAAAGGCAGGCAGGAAATACTTTGCTTTTTGTTTCGTTTTGGTTATTTTTGAGACAGGGTTTCTCTGTATAGCCCTAGGTGTCCTGGAACTCACTCTGTAGACTAAGCTGGCCTCAAACTCAGAGATCCACCTGCCTCTGTCTCCCAAGTGCTGAGATCAAATGCAGCGCCACCACCGCCACTGACAGGAAATATCTTTAATGAGGTATGCTCAACCACAAGTCACACACCTGTAAAACACCTCTTAGGATAACCTTGATAGACAATGTGCGATCCACTTAGAGTGGAAGTACTGAAGTCTCAGGCAGATAATCTGAGTGTTACACGGTGGCGTGTGGCAGAGCTCTGCAAAGGGTCCGCTCCCAGACCTCCCCGACCCTCCCTGTGATTTCACTGTGACAACACAGCAGGTGCTGACAGATCAAAGCTTTAATTGGACCCTGACAGAAGAATTGCCAATCCACTCATAACTTTGGTGTAAGTGACAAAAGGTAGCACCCAAGCAGGGTCTGTGAGTTTCTCCAGTAGGGGGATGGATTCCCTGGAGAGAAGAGGGAGATGGGTAGGGGTGGGGGATAAAACAGAAGCCTGACTGGGGGTAGTTTTAGGAGACTAGCTGAGAATTTCAGGGCAAGATGTTGATGACAAAAACAAACACTTCAGAAGGTCATTTGGTTTGGTGTAGACAATCTCGGCTGGAGAATTCAAGAGAAAGCTTTGGAGTAGAGTCAGTCAGACAGTTACCATGGTGACAATGTAACGTGTGAGCACAGGGGTCAAGTCTAGTGTATTTGTGTAGCTTTAGAGTTTCTGAAATTGTGTGGAGTATAAATAATCAACGCTATTTAAAACAAAAAAAACAATGTGAGCGTCTTGTCCACAGATATGTGTGCACCCTTGGGGGACAGAAGAGGGTGTCAGATCTCCGTTATCTTGCCTTACAGGCAGCTGGGGCTTTTGACTCCTTATGTTAAAATCAGTTTACTTCCCTGGGACAGGTGGGCTGGGAAGAGCATATGGGACAGAATGAGTGATGTTGTAAATCTATTGTGGTAGAATGGCGAATGTGTGACATCATTAATCAAAGAACAAACAATAAAGCCAACTGGAAAGTCACCTGTCATACACCTTAATCCCCGCATCTGGGATTAGAGGCAGGAGGTGCCTGAATTCATGGCTGGCCTATGCTTCATAGTGAGTTCAAGGCTGGCCTATGGTTCATAGTGAGTTCAAGGCTGGCCTGTGCTACATAGTGAGTTCAAGGCTGGCCTATGCTACATAGTGAGTTCAAGGATAGCTTCAGCTACTTAAGAATCTATCTCAAAAAAAAAAAAAATCCCCAATCAACACACACACAAACACAACACCTCCTGTTCCTTGGAGTTGGGGTGGGGGACCCACAGCCAACCAAAAGCTAACAGAAACTAATCAATTAATTATACTTGTAGATGGTGGTGGGTATTGTTTGACACCTACATCATATTCCGTATCTGTAAGTCTGCTTTTCATCATTCAGTTCTGTCCGGGGTCTGACAGGGGAAGCTGAAAGAAGGGCTCCTGCGAATCTCCCTGACTTTGAAGCCAAGAGGATTATACAGCTAATATCCACCAGAGGGTAAATAGTAGTTAATTCTTAATTGTTAGCTCAGTCACTGCAGTTGGTTCAACAGTAATTATTATCATGTGGTTTGAACTCAGTTGTGAGGGTTCTCCCTTTTCAGTTGTGCATCGAAACAGCAACCTTATGGTACTTAAAAAGTTCAGCGTAGAGGCTGAGGAGACGGCCAGTTAAGCCCTTCTGCTCTTTTTGCAAACACTGAGTTGAGCCCACAGCCCCCACCTCACAACTGGCAGAACTCAACGCTTTTAGCCTCCGCAGGCACACGCACATACATACACATAATTAAGCAAAATAACAAAAATAGCTGGGTGTGGTAGTGCAGGTCTTTGATTTCAGCAGTCTGAGGCAGAGGCAGGCATATAGCTGTCCAAGGCCAGTCTGGTTTACATAGTTTCACGGCAAGACAAACAAAAAACAAAAATTAAAAAAAAAAAGCATCTTTATAAAGCAGGTTGGTGTTGAGCTTGGTAGCATGGGCCTGTAATTCCAGCTACTAGGAAGGCTAAGGTAGGGAGACAACAATTTTGAAGATGAGCCTTGCTATGTGTCACAGCAGGTGCGGGGGCAGCACCTCAAAACAAAACAAAACATAAATAGTAAAATATTCCCCGCCTTCCGGAGAGTCCATCTTATTTCTCTGGAAGTTGTGTGTCTTTTTTATTTTTTGTCTTGTCACTAAATGCAAAAGCAGCCACGTGGCTGAGCACCCCCAGATGACCACGTGGAGCTAGGGTGGCCACGTCTGGGATCCTGGTCCACCCAGCCTCTGCAAGTCCTCAGTTTCCCCGGGGCTGACCCCGGCCCGGAGCCGCAGGGCAGGAGGCATCCGGGAGCCTTTACTTTATCCGCCGGGCTGCCCGCCGGCCACGTCCGCCCGCTCCGCGACACAGAGGCGGTCTTTCGGGGTGAGCGTCGCTTCCGACCCGGGAAGAGCTGCGACTGCCCGTCCGTCCGTCCGTCCGGCTCTCCGTAGCCGACTCTCCGCGCCCGGCTCTCCGCAGCCAACCGGCCGCGCTCCACACCGACGCCCACTCCCAGCTCCGCGGGGCTCCGCCAGGAATGTGGGAGACCCGGCGGCGCCTCGGAGTGACCGCGCGCCGGGCCAATCAGCGGGCCGCAGGCGCGAGGCCCCGCCCCCTCCGCCCCCGGGGCTGGTTCCCGCCGGGGGCGGGGCGGCGGGCCGAGGAGGACCGAGGGGAGGCGGCACCTGGGCGGCGGTGATGTCAGCCCGGCGCTGCGCTCCGGCCCCGGCTCCTGTCGCCGTGTAGGGCGCGGGGGCGGCCGCGACGGGAGCGGCGATCTGGCAGCCGGGAGGGTGCCGGGAGGCGGAACTGCAACTTGTGGAGCTCGGCGGCCCTCCGCCTCAGGTAAGCCAGCCGCGGGCGGTTCCTTCTGCGACCCGCGCCCGTGTTCCCGGGGATCTCTAGGGAGTGGGGGGCAGCCTCGGGGTGACGGGAAGGGCTCATCGGGATCCCCGGTTCCCGCACCCAGACTCCCCACAGCATAGAACTCCAGTCAGGGAAGTGTGCCCGGACTCCCCACAACAGACTACAGTGAGGGAAGTGTGCTCCCAGCTCACACCCAGACTCCCCTCCACAGACTCCAGTGAGGGAAGTGTGCTCCCAGCTCACGCCTAGACTCCCCTCCACAGACTCCAGTCAGGGAAGTGTGCCCGGACTCCCCCCAACAGACTCCAGTCAGGGAAGTGTGCTCCCAGCTCACACCCTGATCTCTCCTTCACACCACAGCCTCCAGTTAGGGAAATGTGCTCCCAGTTCACACCTGGACACCCCCCCCCCCCCCAGACTCCAGTTAGGGAAGTGTGCTCCCAGCTCACATCCAGACTCCCCTACACACACACACACACACACACACACCCAACAGTCACCAGCCAGAGTAGTGTGAGCTCACCACACCATAGACTGATATCACAGAACTCTCAATCAGGGAAGTGTGCTGGGACCCCACGCCCCAGAATCCCCACCACACCACAGCCTCCAGTCAGGGAAGTGTGCTCCCAGCTCACACCTGGACTCCCCACCACACCACAGAGGCCAGTCGGGGAAGTGTGCTGGCACCCAAACACTCAAGAATCCCAGTACCATGGAACTCTAGTCAGGGACATGCGCACAGTCTTACACTATGGGCACTTCACCAGGCCACAGACTCATTCAGGATAGTGTGAGCCCATTTCACGCTCGTCCCCCCCCCCCCCCCGCCGCCCAGAACTCCAATCAGGGAAGTGTTCTGGGACCCCACACCCCAGAATTCCTACCACACCACAGACCGAAGTTAGGGAATTTTAGTGGGACCCCGAAATTTAATACCACACCACTACAATACTACCACAGGCTCCATTCAGGAAACTGTAGTGGGACCCTGCACCCCAGACTCCCCGTAATATACCTCAGATTCCAGTCAGGGAACTATAGTGAAACCCCAGATTCCCTATATAATACCGCAGAGCTCCAGTCTTGGAAAGTGTGCTCAGACTCTGAATCTCAGTTTCCACATATTACAAGAGAATGCCCTTCAGGGACATGTGCCCCAACCCAGTCTCCCACACTACTACAGAACCAGCAGGGAAGTGTATGTGCAGGTGGGAACAGGGGTGGGGTTTATTTAAAAGTGCCACAAATATTTGTGAATCATCTTCCCAGACAGTAAAGAGAAAATAGTTTTTATATTTTCTCAGTTTCCTTAATGTCCTACCATATATTGTTTAAATAGAAGAACATCCGTGTTATTCTTGTATATCAGTGTAAAATATCCTTTTACGTAGTCCAGTTAGGAGGTGAGAAATTCACTTGGATATATTTGTAGCTCGTGGGAAAACTGGTTTCTTGGAGGCACAACTCTACAACTCTGTTGGTGTTTATACACCAGAGCAGTTAGGAAGTCCGCTGAGAATCTAGATCTTGCCTGGGGCTTCTTGAGAAAAGGTTGAATGAAGGCTGTTAGTTGTGTTTTCAGGGTTCACTTTTAGAGAAAGGAGTTTAAATTTTATTTTATTACTTTTTTATTTTTATAACAGGATTTTACTAGGTAGCTCTGGCTGGCCTGAGCCACTGTGTAGACCACTCAGGCCTCAAACTCACTGAAATCTGCCTGTCTCTGCTTCCTGAGTCCTAGGATTAGAAGACTGTGCCAGCATTACTGGTTGGGAAAGGAGTTTTAACAGGGAAATGCAGTGGAAAGCATGGAATATAAACTCTTAATAACATGTTTTTCCAACATGTGGGACCAAAACAAACCCTTGCTGTCAGTAAGAATTGACAGCAATGTGAAGGGAACTCAAAAGGTCTGTTTGTTAACTAGAGAAAGTAGTTGCCTATTGGTAGGATTCTGATTTTATTTCTCGTTTCAAACTCCTTTTCTTGCTCAGAGATTTTCCGCGCACGGGTCACTGAGTGTGATTGGCTTTCTGGGGGGGGAATTAACCTTGAGCATACTGATTCCAACACTGGCTCTCAGTGTTTCAAGGCTCTTTCTTTTAGAGCAAGAAATAGAAATCGTATAGCTGAGGTTTCTGAGTGAAGCAAGTTTTCCTCTTTGAGGGCAGGGGTTCCTCAGCAGTGAGGATTCCCTGGTTGCCAGGTCTGGAGGAAGTGGGAGTGGACTTTATTGTTAGTCAGAAGCCTCATCCCAGACTCTGACCCAAAGGGCATTTCCAGGAGCTGGGGAAAGAAAGTCATCACATTATGTCTAGTAAACCCAAGTCAGGAAGTGTGGGCATAGAGGATTTTAAAAATGGAATTTAAAAGATGACTCTACAGGCAGAACTGGAAAGGACATTTGTTATTTGCTTTGTTTTCAAACAGCATTGTTCTTAGTTCCTGGAATAACTAAACACCACAGGGCATATGAAGAACAACCTTTGTGACAAGGCTGTCCCCACTCTCCTCTTTCTTCTTTGAGATGGGATCTCACCGTGTTGCCCAGGCTGGCCTTGAACTTTGGTTCTTCTTGCTTCCCCCTGGGATTACATATTTGTGCCATCATACCCAGAAGGGTCAGGCTTTTTGTAAAGGGAGTATGTGCTTCATGGGAACAGAACTTTTTAATTTTTGTTTGCATTTTCGAACTAAGGCATTGAAGTTGATAATGGCTCAGCAATAATATTAGACGAAATTTTGGTATTTATGTTCAGTGAATGTATGTAAAACATACTGTATTTTCTAGTGCATTTTTCTTTTATTGGGAAAGAAACGTGGAATTTCTGTGGGCATAAGATGGGTACTGTGTAGCACAGCCTTGGTTGATAACAGTATTTAGATAATGACATGCAGTTAAAGATGGAACCTCAAAGACCAGATAGTCAAGCAAAAAGTATCACGTGTGTGTGTGTGCAATAAGTTATTGTACAACTTAATTTGAAATACTATTTCTCTTGTTCAGTTCATGTTTGCGAGGGCAGATGTAGTATGCTAAGACATGGTACTTTCATTCTTTTATTTCATGTGTATGAGCTTATTGCCTGTATGCTGTGCAGTGCCCAGGCAGCCTAGAAGACAATGTCAGAATCCCTGAAACTGCAGTTACAGACAGTTATAAAACTCATGTGGGCGTTGGGGACAGAACCCAGGGTCTGTGTTAGAGCCATGAGTGTTCTTAACCACTGAGCCATCTCTCTGGCCCCAAGATGGTAGTTTGAAAGGCCAATGAGATAGCTCAGTGAGCAAAGGCGCTTGCTGCCAGGCCTAGTCCCTAGAATATGGAATGATAGAAGGAGAGAATGGAGTCCCCCAATTTGTCTTCTAGCCTCAGTTCCTTATAACATATATGGGGCACACACACTAAATAAATAAAGTAAAAAGAAAAAGGAGAATTGTTAAAAGATATGAAAGTTTTTTTTTTTTTGATGTGGGTACCTGCTTTTTTTTTTATAATTTATTTTTTCTCAAATCGTAATTCATTCACATAGGGGGTTATAAACACAGAAAGGCAGGATGTGGGGAAGGGAATGACACTGGAGTGTGGGTGATCAGGAGGAATACAGATATCATCAGAATGAAAGTTTTTAAGAAAGGCGAGATTAGGTTTTGATTCAGTTCCTTTTGATAGACAACGATTACTATTGTAATAGCGACATTAAAATAAGAGTCAGTTGGTCTTGTTGGACAAGAAACTTGAAATCTAGGCTATGCCGTAATTCCAAATTAACCATGCCTAATCTGAAAGTTGTCTGAAATTGTTCTTGAGAACACAGTCACTGAGGGAGCATCATGCAGTTCATGTGGTCTGTATGTCACTCTTTGTGCCAGTATGAGGTAAATCACAAGTGCCGAGATTAAAGGCATTGATGGCAATCATCCAGCTCAATTAATTCATTTCTATTTAAAGTAAACATTTTCTTCTGTCTCTGACCAGCTGACTTCTTTTAAAATCTTTTATATCCATGGACTACTTATATTTTTGTAGTAAATTACGCTGACAATTTGTTACATTAAAATTGACTTTTTGAGGTTTTCATCTCCAATTTTTAAGGTGTCTATTTTTTTAAACAGCTGAATTAGAAGGAAATACTGATTAGCTGAAGGAAAATTGAAGGAAAATCTTATATAACGTTCTGTCTTTTCAGAGATGTTACATCTTTCTGTCCTGGTTTGAATTACCTTTACAAAACAGTGAATGAAGGACTTAGTTAATGTCTCCATATCCATTCATACTTGGGTCTATGTCTTGACTTTTTTTTTGGGGGGGGTTGTGTGTGTGCATGAATGCGTGCATGTGGAAGTCTGGCTAGGCTCACTACTCAAAAGCTGCAGAAGTTTTCTGCTTGTCCAGCTCTTGGTATTACAGGTGTGTGCTGCTGTGGGTGGTGAGGCCCAGAATCACAGCCTCACGCTTTTGTGGTAAGCGTTTTACCAATGGAACCATCTCTCCAGTCCTAAGAGTTGAGTCTGTATTTTAAAAATGTCAAAAGGGGAAAACATGAACAGAAAATATCATGTAATCACTTTATTTTCAGAGATTTTTCTAGAAAGTCTTTTTAGTTCTGAAGTTGGGGGGGTGGGAATCACACTTCAGCAGCCATTGTAAGCCCTTTCAGAAAGTCCTAATCCTAATTAAAAAGAAGATTTCTATCCCCTTCCCAAATAAAAACAAGCAAATTAATTAGCTAGTTAATTAACTTCTGAGATAGGGTTTCTCTGTGCAGCTCTGGCTGTCCTGTCTTTGCAGACCAGACTGGCCTCAAATTCAAGAGATCCATCTGCCTCTGCTCCCCAAGTGCTGAGATTATTAAAGACATTGGCCACTATCACCCAGCTCAATTCATTTCTATTTAACGTGAACCGATGTTTTGTCTGCATGTATGTCTGTGCACCACATGCCTAGTGCCCTTGAAGGGAGGCCAGAAGAAAGC